TTTTAATTTCGCATATGCGAAACTTTAAAGTATATATATAAATAGGAAGTAGGTTATTCAAGTATGGCCTTGCTATTGCGACTCAACAAGTTTAATCCAGTATATACATACATATATACGTACATACGTACATACATTACATATATACATGCATACGTACATATATACTTACGTACATACATATATACTTACGTACGTACGTACATATATACTTACATACGTACGATGCAATATATCTGATATGTATATACTGCATAAAGTTGTCCAATCGTATTGTATGATCTGCAGTTAATTTACATAAAAAAATTTATATAATATCTTTTGTACTTGTACAAAAACAGCCGGGTGCCATGTGTTTTCTTGATGTTAATATGTTACAAGAAACAATTAATTTTATTTGTGTGGCCTTAGTTAAATATTGTTTATTTTTTAGTTTTAACATAAAGCAAAATAATTAAGTTTATTAAAAAAAACACTATAGTATATTTTTTTTCTTTATATAGTTTATCTCGCCTAATCCGGAATTGTACAAAAAAGATAGCAAAGTTGTATTTGACAATATGAAAAAAGCTAAAGAGTTGATAGATGGGTTTAAGTGTCTATATATGATAGCTATGTTCAACAAAATTAGGGAGGCAGAGAATAGAGAGACAGAGTAGCTAAACAGAAATCCTTGAAATTACATTAAAGAAAAATATTAGTCTGTAGATCAATATTGATATTAATCTATATTAATTAAGTAAGATCTGAATTTTGGATAAAGTTCGATAAAAAGGTTACTGCCAAATTCATTTCATTCTTTGTATTTAAACGAAAGACATCACACATCTTACCATGTTTAGTTTATTATTAAAAAATTCATCTGAGAATGAAGCTTTATAAGCAGCAATGTTTTGATTTATACACATCAAGTTTTTTATAAACTTTTAAAACCTGATTCTTTTATTTACCTACAAACAACCCTGATCAAAATGAACTTCTTAAATTATACAATTGTTTTAATCATTTTCATTAGCTTGTTTATTACAACAATTAACAACTTTTATGATGAATTTTATTTTTCGTCATATATACAAAATTTATTTTTTAAAATAATTTATTCAAAAATTTTC